AAAAAAAAAAAAATAAAAATAAACACATCTTAGTAAAACCAATACCTTCTCAGCTTCGCATCGAAGCTAAAATAAGTATTTACATATTAAAAAAAAAAATAATTAAGAACAAAAAAAAATTGCAAAAGATTACAATTCGTATCTAATTGAAGATATTACCCTCAAAGATTGAAAAAAATTTCTAATTTATCGATTAAACAATTACTTATTCCATGTTCCCCATAAAGACAATTAAAATCATTAATTTCTAATGTTTTCAAAGTATTTATTGACGAATTAAGTTTGATATGATAGGTTTCAATTACAAAATGAAATCATTTTATTTTGTAATTTAATAATTTTTTTATCTATTTGTGTGCTACTACTAGACTATAATATACCAAATTTTTTGGTAAAATGTTGCTATATAAATCATTTCTAAAAAAAAATGATTATTAGTTTCTCCTAAATTAACAATGGATTTTTAGATCTTTTTAACAACTTTTTTTGATTAGTTCTTTTAGTTAAAGTAAATCATTAAAATTAATTCAGTTCATATTTCAATTGTAGAATCTTTTTAAACACCAAAAGTTACTAGGAAATGATTACTATTATTTCTATTTAAGTTATCTATTACAATAAAAATGCGAAAAAATAGTTTTTCTGATAAATTTACTATAAATAGTTATTAGAAATTTTCCTATTTTTTAATTATAGACATTCACAAAAATCAACTTTAAAGGATTAAAAAAATAGGTTAAATATATCTATTTCCTTATTTATTACATATTAATAATCAAAATCAGTATTAATTTAAAACAATTTTTTTTTGTTCATAATTATTTTTTTATATGTATACTAGGTTTCGCCTAGCTGGGGCTCAGCCCCATACCCGGAGCCCTACGAGCCTTACGCGAGTAAGCCTCTTCGGGCCGTCATCATAATTTAATCAATTATTTTTGATTCTGATGGAAGTTCCTTGGACAAGGGCGTCATTTTAGTTCTTTTTTTGTGTTCGAGATTTCAAGTAGGCCATTTTGAAATAGATATACCTATTTAAGTAAATCATTCTTTTTTTAATTTTTCTATACATTATGAATGACATTCATTATAAGTAGTAAATATAAATTATAATAATACTTACTATTTTAATAGCGTCCTGTACGAGTATCATAAACAGTAGAGTATGATATATTTATTGTTTTCTTAAATAACTGTTACCAGAATATTTGTTTATTGACCAATGTAATCATGATAATACAATGTTTTTGAAATTTGAATTGTTGTATAAAAAATTGATGCATTATTTTTGTAGGCTAATTGGGACTGTTTATAATATAGGGGTGTGTTTGCTTATCCTGACCCCTCCAAATGACACCCCTGTCCTTGTAGGTAAAAAAACAGTCTTTTATTAAATAGTAATAACATCAAAAATTAAAAGTGATCAAAAAGTCTAATTGCAGATCTACATAATTATTTTTATAATTTCTCCGTAACACTTACAATATTAAATTATTGAATATCATTTTCATACTAAATTTAATAATTAGAATTAGTATTATCATATACTAGATTTTTAAATCACAGAACTACTGAAACCAATATAAATAAGGAGATCTTGTAGCTTCTGGAATAATCCATTAATTTCTTAAAGTTAAACATTATCTACAGATTTGCATCGAAGGGTTTCTAATGATAGTGATTTTAATCACTGTCAAATTAAATCTATACTGGATCCAATTATGTCACATCTCCACTATGCTGCGACCCCACTGTGCTACCGTTTTTTTTTTAGATAACGTTTTGTATAATGCAAATCTAAATAACCATTTAATTTTTCTATTGATTTGGTTTTTTATTTTTATTAATAAAATAATTTATAATAATTTGAATAATGCATGTAATAATTGCAATTATTCCGATTAGTCTAAACGCCATAATGCTACCCAGGTTGTCAAATGTATAACCGGCAATTGCTGCTCCTAAAGACGCTCCTAAAAAATAATTGATAAGGTCATTTTTAAATAGTAGATATTTTGATTAAATAAAGAAATAACTTACCAAATCCATGAAATGCCATAGAAAAAAGTCCTTGAAGTGTACCTTCACTTCCAGTTGGAGCTATTTTTGCAGCATAAGACACTCCTGCGATGTAACTCAATCCAAATGTAACACCATTTAATGTTTCCACTGGCAGCACCCATAACGGATCTCTTATGACGGAGTATAATAAAAATCGACATGCAAACAAAGCAAATGATAATGAGAATCCATTCATATGACCAGTATGTTTAAGGAGGTAACCTATACAAAAATTACTGANATATGTTTAAGGAGGTAACCTATAAAAAAATTACTAAATATAAGTAAAAAGTTTATGAAGAAAAATGCCACCATCAAATTTTAATCTTATGTATCTTTACCCAATTAATTGTTTTATTTGAACTCATAATTTGGAAATTTGATTTTGAATATAGCTATAGATTTTAGCTTTGATGTGAAGCTCAGAAGAATAACTTTTTGAANGATGCGAAGCTCAGAAGAATAACTTTTTGAAATTGGTTGAATCAGAATAACTCTTTATAAATACCTTAGATATTTTCCATTATTTAGTACAAATTTTTCGAAAATCTTATCCTTTAATGCCCATAGAAGAAATTCAAAATAGCAAATTTTTCTTGTAAAGTTAACCTTTTCGAATCAACTTTTGGAAATGTTCCGGAAATACTACGAGCATAAAAACATGCTAAAAATTAAATTTTGTGTTACATACTATAAGTACTAAAAAATTATTGTTTTTCGACCCTTTACCTTAATACAGGGGGAATTCAAGTTATAATAATGCATATAGAAAGTAGAACTTCTTCAACTTAATTTTTAAACGTGTTCCGGAAATACTGACTTTTTTTTATATATCTTAAATTTAAATTTATGTAATATAATACATTATTATAGAAAAAGAAAAATTTCAGATTTTAGTTTGTTTTCATAATGAAAACTAACAACAAAAATNGTCTTTATAAGTGGACTTGGCATGTAAATATGTTTATACATTACCGATAGTTAGAGGTCCCGCGGCGAGCACTAATGACTTTGCTATCGGAAGCAGATAAAAGCGAAGCGGTATACGATTAAAATACGTGTAGACTATACGTGTGGTCTGTATGGTGTCTCAACACGAACTGATAATACATTATTATAGAAAAAGAAAAAATTTCAGATTTTAGTTTGTTTTCATAATGAAAACTAACAACAAAAAAAAAATGATTTTTGTAAAAAAATTCTTTTTTATATTTTTAGATCAGGATATAAATAAGGAAATGGGAGATTATGTAGCTTTTGAAATAATACACCATTTTTTTTTAAATTAAACACTATCTACAAATTTGTATCGGACCGTTTTTTATAATGGTGATTTTAATCACTGTCAGAAATCATTATACTTGATCCAACTATGCCATGTCTCCACTGTGCTGAATTTTTTTCAATGGCTATTTTTTAGATTTTTTTTGTAAAAAAATAGTGTATATATATGATTGCAAAATGAAAAGAGAATTTTTTGTTTTTTACCAGATAAATAAAAAAACGGAACTTCGCCTCCTAAACATTCGATCGTAAGGGATAGCCCTTTGATTGTATGCAACACAGACTTTCGTTCTGGATGGTAAATAGTTGCTAAATCATCAACGTACCTTTTAAAAACAAATTCATTTATTGTTATTAGTTATTTATATAAATATATGATTACATAACCAAATTTAGATAATTCTAAATTATAAATAGTACTATCTAAAATTTTATTAATAAAACTTCAAAGCATAGGCACAAATAAGGGTTACTTTGACTGCTTAGTACTTTCAGAGATGCCATTAACACACTTAAGAATTTTAGAAAATTATATTTATGGTTGTAGGAAAATATTTTTAAAGTAGGGTAGGGATCACATTCCGCACCTTCAAAGTTGTTTTATTATTTGCGTCTATGCTTAGTTGTGTACTAATTTAAGTTACCCTAATATCTTTTTTATTTAATTAATATAATTTTATAGATCAAAACAAAAGTTTAAATTTAAGTGATTTAACATTCATGGTGTCTTATGACTCTAACCAATTGTACACTCCCCCCTCTCCGAAATAATTAACGAGTGTTTTCTTATATGATATAAATAACAATAAATATATCTTGAACGTAGTCTAAGTAGGCAATAATTATTAAAAAAAAATCATATTAATATTAAATCAAATGTTCTAAGAGATGTCAGAGCATAATGTGACTTCCTATTTATCTCAATACTATTTTTGTTCGGTAGTTACAGATCGTAGTTTTTTAAATATTTGACTGGATCGAGATTTTTCTTTCTATTTTGTCACGATACTGTAAATATAAACATTGTACATGTTTCCTTACCAGATAAAGTAAAACCAAATGTACGCGCAAAAAATACCACCGGCTACTGCCCAAACTAGAAACACGCATACTTTGGCGCTATTTATTACTTTTTTGACATCTTTAAGGATATTTTCTGTTGATCCATCGCTTTCGGGTACCTAACACAAATTGTAATTATTATAAATCAATATAAATATCGATGTTTGATTTATTTACGAAATGGATCAACTTAATAGGTGTAAAAAATACCTATCGATAAATGAAATTTGTAAAAATAATTATGATTCATAAGTACAAATTGTAATATATTTTCAAAGGTGTTAAATGTAATTTCTTCTCTTTAAAAATGATTTTATACAAAGTGTCTCAGATCTACTTGACAACGCTTATAAAATAGAATAACACTTGATCACTCTAACAACATTTATCATTAAAAAATATATTTAAAATTTTAATTAATATATATATATATATATATGTAATTCAAAAATGAAAAGAATATAACATACACAAATCATATCTTACATAAACACATAGTGATGCTAAAATTTTTTCGTTAAATTTATTTTTGTTTTCTTAGACTTCTCTACAAAAATCCGGTAGTTTTTAAACTTTACCTTTGATAATGCCTATTATTTTTATTATAATATTAATAATTATTGACATTAAAATATAAGTTATAGAATGGATTATATATTTTTTTTAATAATAAAACTTTTTACTCTTTGAGTTTTTACAAATAATTGATTTATTAAAATAACAAACAATGATGTTTAACTTAAGAGTATAATGTGTTCAAAATGTAACCATTAATTTTAGTAGTGCACCATCATCAAGTTATTGATTCATAATTAAATTAAATTCTATTATTTATTATTTATTACTTTATTGATATACTAGATTATATATTGATTTTCTTTTTGTTTATTTCATGTTTCATTTACTTAACGGATTTTTGTTCTTGTCAGTTTCATTTAATTATTAAGGCGTCTGGGTACCGACCTTTTTTCAGGGGTCGAATATAGGCAATTTTGCGGTTTTTAAATGTTCTGCAGTGTCGTTGTGTGAGAAATAAATGATTATTAGTGTGAGTGTCCATTATTGGTAGTATTTTCGTCGTGTTATAGTCGATAACAAAACCGGTTGTGTACCTCCCTTAAATTTTGATGCGATACGATTATATTGATAACGAGGCACGTTTATTTTATATAATATAAAAACTATAGTTAAGCACCAGCCTCATTATAAATACTAATAGACGCGTCATGATTTCACAAATTTTAATTGATTATAAAATTAATTAAACTATTTATTTTTGACGAGTAAGAAAAACTAAATATTTACAGAAAACAAGTTAAATCATATGAGATCCACATCGATTATTTTGAAGTTATAAAACTATAAAAAAAACTAATTTTAATTATAAGAATTTAATTTACAAAATAGCATTATTTACACACTAAAATATTTAAGTTTTATAAGCNTAATTTACAAAATAACATTATTTACACACTAAAATATTTAAGTTTTATAAGCCTGTTCTTATGGAAAGTCCATAAAATCAGTTACTTAGTGTTAGGTCTAGTTTGATAACATAGTGTGCGACTAAGAAAAACACGTTATTGTGTCAGATTTAAAGGGAAATTATTAAAATATAATGCTAAATACATCAACAAAATATATTTTTTGATCTTATGGCGTATCGTTGAACAATAACAGTCCAGTAGGTACAGATATGGATAGACACAAGCAAAAAACACATCATAGTAAAACTAATACCTTCTCAGTTTTCTATCGAAACTAAGAAAGTGTATGAAAATTATTTTTCTACATACGTACCTCACTAGTTTTTAACACGCTTATATTAGTTTCACATGTATGTTTGTCGTTTGTCGTTTGTTGTTTGTAAGTTTGTAACTCCACGCGGCACGTGTTATTATGTCGCGTATCCCGTCGTGTATGACCTTGAGACTATACTGTTGTAACGCATTCGCCCCACCCCGCTCACCCCTAGTAGAGAACAATATTTTCCAACCCGTAGACGCGCGCTTATCATCAATTATATATAACAAATTTTTATTGTAAGTCCAGCAAGTGCCGCACGGCCGACGACGTCCCGCCGCTATATCGTAGTCTTCTTCCCATTGTTAAAATAACATCGTCAACAAACTGATCCGCACTCGCGCACCGTCGTCATCTACGCTGCTAACCTATTGACGCCCGAGGATCACGCCGGACATCGCGTCTTCGACGCCAGCAAAAGTGCCGCGATATTATGCGAAGATTATATATTCCTACCGCCACCGCTAATATTAATAT